ATATACACTTTTTTTTCTTTTGCTTTGTTCTGTTTTTGTTTTTGCTTGACACACTGGTTGCCAAATTCAGCTCTTTTTACATTCTTAGATCTATTACCTTGAAATTTAAGACTCTTATTACAAGATTCCTGAGAGAATAACACTCTTTTAGAAATAGATATTGAAGAGGTGATCAAGTCCAAATCCTTTCTTCAGTTGAATTTCACAACCTGAAAACATTTTACAAACTCCAAAACAACATACCACTGTGACCCAAATAAGTGTCATGGCCCCCGATGTGGAGAGTCAGCTAGCCCAAAGACTCCTGACTCTGGACCTGGGCTGCCTTCACCCTTCATTCTGTCTATGAATTAGTTAATGTATTACTGTGCTTTCCTGGCAAGTGGTTTAAGTGAGTAAAGTTAGTATAGAAGTACACTGCATGGAAATATTTTTCTTATAAGTTGGATCTTATTTTAAGTATTTAACATCATTTGGTACTTAGTAGGATTCTGCAGTAAAACTTTCACATGATGATGAAGCACTTTCTAAATTGTTGGCCAATTCAATTTATTTTCTACTGTATTTGTTAAATCTAGAGTTGGGTTTTCTCATGACCAACAGACTTAGTAATCTTTCTCATATATATGTTGAAGTTAAACAGAACTACTGTTCCTGTTCTTCTCTGTCACTTATAGCCTTAAAAAAGTCTTTTATCGCTCTGATTTTTTATTTTTTTCTAATAAAAAGTGGGTTTAGCACCATCTTCTCAGTTCACACCCTCAGCAATGCTGTGACAATCAAGCAGGAAAATGCATGAGTGTGAATAAAGTTTGTAATAATAACAATTACAACAACAAGAATAATAGCTAAAATTTATTCAGTATTTATTATGTGCCAGGCACAGCTTTGCATGAATTAACTCATTTAATCTTATAACAATTCTAAGTTGCATAGAGACTAAGTAACCAAGGCACAGAGGCTAAGTAACTTGCACAAATCACAAAGCTAGTAAGTAAAGAAGTTAAAGTAAATGATTATGTGCTCCTTATACTCTGGGTACAGTGATAATATAACATTTTACTAATAGAGGCTGCAAGTGATATCATAGGGAAATAAGATAATCACCATTTTATAGATTGGATAACTAAGATCCAACAGGGTTTTATGGCTTGCCCAATATCCAGTATTATATTATAATTAATTTCGACTATGCCTAGCTCTCTATTTTTAAGTTGAAGGAAGCAGAGTAAAGCTGCTAAAAAAAAAACCTAGGGCTCGATTTAATGAGCAACCAGTTATTTTACTGAGAAAGTAAAGATTAAATATGCTTAGACATAAGAATGAAGACTTAAGAAATATTACCTACTATCACTATAATTGTCCAAATTCCCGTAGATGAATCCTAAAGCACATGACAAGTTCTAGACAAAACTGTACAATTCTCTTTAAAAATGTGAATAGAGCAATTATATTGCCTGGATTTGAAAATAGAAAGAAAAGCCTCAAATTTGAACATTTTGTGTTCTTTTTTCCTAATTAATATACAAAAATTCCTACACATTCTCATCATAACCAAGAATCAAATTTTCAGAAATAGATTTTCATTCATCTTCCTCCACTGAATGCACTGTGGTTCTGACTAATATCCAAAAACTAGTTAGAAATAGGAAGGAAAACGAAGGACAACCCACCTACTAGTGACACAATGCCTTTAAAGGGGAAGCAGGCGCACATCCTTGCAGGCCAACTGTGTGCCAGACACTAGCTGCTTGGTGCAAAGGCATAGCTTGATCCAGAGTCACAGAGAATCAGGTCAAATCTGGCTCTTCCACTATTAGCTGGGTGGCCTTAGGCAGAGTTACTTAATTCCTGCGACTCTCTCAAAAGCTTCTGAACACAGGTGACCCAGCTGCTGGTCCAGAGTGATCCCCAGTGGGGATCCAGAGCAACTGCTATCCCTTATGGGTTTTGTCAGGTTCATCACCTTGTTTTACGACCTACCTCACAAGCCCCTAAAGATACTTTATGAAGTTTTTCAGCATTAGATTGGCCAATTTACATGGTTATGAGAGATATATAATGAGAATTGTTTTTAGACAAATAGGGCCCTACTTGCCACTGAATCAAATGAATATTGAGAGTCTATCCTGAGAAAATTTCCTCAATAGCAGGCATATCTGATATCCTAACAGGACAAGGCAGACCTTCTCTGTCTCAGTGATATCCCTGAGCTGGGCATTCGAGACTGAATTTCATGTGAGCTCATAACCCACAAGGCTTCCTATGCCGCTTGAAACACATATGCTCCAATCATCCTTTCCCACAGTGACCTCATTTCTGCCCAACTTGCTGTGCCAGCTTCCCAACCTCTAACTCGGCTCACAGAGCCTTCAGGCTTGATGCAGCCAAAGACAGGTTAACACTGAACATGAGGTCTCTGGGAAAGAGAAACTTCCCTACTGAGATGCTGATCAGAATACCAAGGTATCTCTAGAACTGACTTCCCAAGATCCTTCTGATTTCCTATTGACACAGACTTCCGTGATTGTAGCCTCTGTGGCAACCTCAGTTCAGAAACATGGCTCAGGAAGCATTTTCAAGCTTGGGAGGTAAATCACTTCATAAATTCAGTATGTTGTAAAATGAGTAAAGCTGGAAATGGTGATGGGTATTTGAGGAAAAAATACATGTGTAATATAGAATTTATAATTTATTAGGACTTAACCAGCACTTGTAAACCATTCTTGCCTAGCGTTTATACAGACTCAAAAAAACTGGTAGCTATTGTAGTAACAATCCTTGTAGATCTTCTAGACAGCAGGCACTATAACCGTTAGCTAGTTTGGTTACTCATTTCTCATTTAAAGGGAGAAAGCATTCTCCCCATTTACAGATAAGAAAACGAAAACAAGAAGGATAGAAGAGTTACCTAAGATCACCTACTACATATGAAACAAAATAGGAATTCAGACAGAGGCAGTTAAATTCCAAAATAGGGATGCAGCAGAGAAAATTAAATTCCAGAATCAAACCGAAGCAGTTAAACTCCTTAATTTGGGCAGTTACTCACTATACCCTTCTAACTTCTCTGTTTAGGTGATAAAATTGAGACCCACAGACATATGACATGCTTGATGTCACACTGTTACTTAGATTGGACACAAATGTCCAAATTACAGCTACATTCCCTTTTAAATAGTGAGTTATTTCTAAAACTGAGTCCTGGAGACATATGCAGCCAGAAGAGGTTTTTTTTTTTTTTAGATGAAAAGTCCAATAGACAGTGGGTGATAATATCTTCCAGTCTCTGATAACCTCTGAGCTACTAGAGCTGCTAAAGATGAATCCCAATGCAACAATCTGTCCATGTGCCAAGAACTTTATCATAAGACCTGGCAGTTCATGATTAAAGAGACACTGAAGTCCCCAGATCAGAAATGACCTTTCAAAAACGTTCCACATTTGTTCTGACTTCATGTCATGATAAAGTGTTTCCAATCAAATGCTCCAGTTGAAACGAATCCATTTTCTGGAAAAGTGGCCAGTTTGGGTGCAGCATTTCTAAGTACATTCCTGGTACTACAGACCATGAGAAAGTCAGAAATGAAGTGAGACTGTTGAGAGTGGCTCATAGAGAATCACAGAAGACCTTAAAACTCTTGAGCAGGAAGGTTCCTAAGCCTTGTCCAACCCCTTTCCACTCAACAGGAAAAAGAAGTCCACTGACCTGAATGGACTTGTCCAAAGCCACTGAGCAGGTGAGTTAGTGCAGCCAAAATCTGTAATGAGGGGTTAGACGTGCCTAGGTTGGAAGACTTAATTCAAGATTCACGCTTAGAGTAGACACTTTGCACCCTCACTTTTGCCCGGGCCTAACTTCAGGTACAAATCTTTAGAATCAAATTCTGATTTCAAACATTGTAAAAACAAAACAAAACAAAAAAGCTTCTTTGGGAGGGGGGGTTGGAGTTTCACTCTGTCGCCCAGACTGGAGTGCAGTGGCTGCTCCCGGCCACCGCACCCTCAACCTGCTGGGCTCCGGCGATCCTTCCGCCTCAGCCTTCCGAGT